CGTTATTCATTTATGTTAGAGAATAATTGTTATTCTGTTTACATGAATAAAACCTTCTATGGTTATACACCCAATGAAAATGGTTTGTTGAATCTCGATCGTAGTGATACACATATTCATAATATTGAAGCCAAAAGATGGTGCAACTTATTTGTGGCACTGCCGTTTAGGTCATATTGGTGTAAAGCACATGAAGAAAATCCATGCTCATGGGCTTTTGGAATCACTTGATTATGAATCAGTTGATGCTTGTGAACCATGCCTCATGGGCAAAGATGACTAAGACTCCGTTCTCCAGAACAATGGAGCGAGCAACTGGCTTATTGGATATAATACATACTGATGTACGAGGTCCGATGAGTGTTGAGGCTCGCGGCGGGTATCGTTATTTTCTGACCTTCGCAATTGATTTGAGCAGATATGGGTATATCTACTTGAAGAAACATAAGTCTGAAACATTTGAAAAGTTCAAAGAATTTCAGGGTGAAGTGGAAAATCATCGTAACAAGAAAATAAAGTTTCTACGATCTGATCGCAGAGGCGAATATTTGAGTTACAAGTTTGGCCTTCAATTAAAACAATGTGAAATAGTTTCACAAACTCATACCACCTGGAACACCACAACGTAATGGTGTGTCCGAACGTCATAACCGTACTTTATTTGATATAGTGCAATCCATGATGTCTCTTACCGATTTACCACTATCATTTTGGGGTTATGCATTAGAGACAGCTGCATTCACATTAAAGGGCACCATCTAAATCCATTGAGACAACACCGTATGAACTGTGGTTTAGCAAGAAACCTAAGCTGCCGTTTCTTAAAGTTTGGGGTTGCGATGCTTATGTGAAAAAGTTTCATCTTGATAAGCTCAAACCCAAGTCGGAGAAGTGCGTCTTCATAAGATACCCAAAAGTAACTATTGGGTACACCTTCTATCACAGATCCGAAGGCATGATATTTGTTGCTGAGAATGGATCCTTTCTAGAGAAGGAGTTTCTCTCGAAAGAAGTGAGTGGGAGGAAAGTAGAACTTGATGAGGTAACTGTACCTGCTCCCTTATTGGAAAGTAGTTCATCATAGAAATATGTTTCTGTGACTCCTACACCAATTAGTGAGGAAGCTAATGATGATGATCATGTAACTTCAGATCAAGTTACTACCGAACCTCGTAGGTCAACCAGAGTGAGATCCGCACCAGAGTGGTACGGTAATCCTGTTCTGGAAGTCATGTTAATTGACCATGACGAACCTACGAACTATGAGAAAGCGATGATGAGCCCAGATTTCGCGAAATGGCTTGAGGCCATGAAATCTTAGATGGGATCCATGTATGAGAACAAAGTGTGGACTTTAGTTGACTTGCCCGATGATCGGCAAGCCATAGAAAATAAATGGATCTTCAAGAGGAAGACGGACGCTGATAGTAGTGTTACTATCTACAAAGCTAGACTTGTCGAAAAAGGTTTTGACAAAGTTCAAGGTGTTGACTATGATGATATTTTCTCACTCGTAGAGATGCTTAAGTCTGTCCGAATCATGCTAGCAAATTGCCACATTTTATGAAATCTGGCAAATGGATGTCAAAACTACATTCCTTAATGGATTTCTTAAAGAAGGGTTGTATATGATGCAACCAGAAGGTTTTTGTCGATCCTAAAGGTGCTAACAAAATGTGCAAGCTCCAGCGATCCATCTATGGACTGGTGCAAGCATCTCAGAGTTGGAATATACGCTTTGATGAGTTGATCAAAGCATATAGTTTTATACAGACTTGTTGTGAAGCCTGTATTTACAAGAAAGTGAGTGGGAGCACTACAACATTTTTGATAAATATATGTGAATGGCATATTGTTGATTGGAAATAATGTAGAATTTTCTGGAAAGCATAAAGGAGTATTTGAAAGGAGTTTTTCAAATAAAGACCTCGGTGAAGCTACTTACATATTGAGCATCAAGATCTATAGAGATAGATCAAGGTGCTTGATAAGTTTTTTCAATGAGTACATACCTTGACAAGATTTTGAAGTAGTTCAAAATGGAACAGTCAAAGAAAGAGTTCTTACCTGTGTTACAAGGTATGAAATTGAGTAAGACTCAAAGCCCGACCACGGCAGAAGATAGAAAGAGAATGAAAGTCATTCTCTATGCCTCGGCCATAGTTTCTATAAAGTATGACATGTTGTGTACCAGATCTATTGTATACCCTACACCGAGTTTAGCAAGGGAGTACAATAGTGATCTAGGAGTAGATCAGTGGACAGCGTCAAAATTATCCTTAGTCAAATAAGGATATGTTTCTCGATTATGGAGGTGACAAAAGGTTCGTCGTAAAGGGTTACGTCGATGCAAGTTTTTGACACTGATCCACATGACTCTAAGTCTCAATCTGGATACACATTGAAAGTGGGAGCAATTAGCTAGAATAGCTCCATGCAGAGCATTGTTGACATAGAAATCTGCAAAATACATACGGATCTGAATGTGGCAGACCCGTAGACTAAACTTCTCTCACAAGCAAAACATGATCACACCTTAGTACTCTTTGGGTGTTAATCACATAGCGATGTGGACTAGATTATTGACTCTAGTAAACCCTTTGGGTGTTGGTCACATGACAATGTGAACTATGGGTGTTAATCACATGGTGATGTGAACTATTGGTGTTAAATCACAAGGCGATGTGAACTAGATTATTGACTCTAGTGCAAGTGGGAGACTGAAGGAAATATGCCCTAGAGGCAATAATAAAGTTATTATTTATTCCCTTATTTCATGATAAATGTTTATTATTCATGCTAGAATTGTATTAAGCGGAAACATAATACATGTGTGAATACATAGACAAACATAGTGTCACTAGTATGCCTCTACTTGACTAGCTCGTTAATCAAAGATGGTTAAGTTTCCTAACCATAGACATGAGTTGTCATTTGATTAACGGGATCACATCATTAGGAGAATGATGTGATTGACTTGACCCATTCCGTTAGCTTAGCACTTGATCGTTTAGTATGTTGCTATTGCTTTCTTCATGACTTATACATGTTCCTATGACTATGAGATTATGCAACTCCCATTTACCGGAGGAACACTTTGTGTGCTACCAAACATCACAACATAACTGGTTGATTATAAAGGTGCTCTACAGGTGTCTCCGAAGGTACTTGTTGAGTTGGCGTATTTCGAGATTAGGATTTGTCACTCCGATCGTCGGAAAGGTATCTCTGGGCCCACTCGGTAATACACATCACTATAAGCCTTGCAAGCATTGTAACTAATGAGTTAGTTGCGGGATGATGTATTATGGAACGAGTAAAGAGACTTGCCGGTAACGAGATTGAACTAGGTATTGAGATACCGACGATCGAATCTCGGGCAAGTAACATACCGATGACAAAGAGAACAACGTATAGTGTTATGCGGTTTGACCGATAAAGATCTTCGTAGAATAAGTAGGAACCAATATGAGCATCCAGGTTCTGCTATTGGTTATTGACCGGAGACATGTCTCGGTCATGTCTACATAGTTCTCGAACCCGTAGGGTCCGCACGCTTAAAGTTCTGTGACGATCGGTTTTATGAGTTTATATGTTTTGATGTACCGAAGGTAGTTTGGAGTCCCGGATATGATCACGAACATGACGAGGAGTCTCGAAATGGTCGAGACATGATGATTGATATATTGGAAGCCTACATTTGGACATCGAAAGAGTTCCGGGTAAAATCAGGATTTTACCGGAGTACTGGAGGGGTTACCGGAAACCCCCCCTGGGGGGGGGGGGGCTAATGGGCCTTGTTGGGCCATAAGGGAAAGAGAGAGGGGCCGGCCTAGGGCAAGCAGCGCGCCCCCTCCCCTCTGGTCCGAATTGGACTAGGAGAGGGGGACCCTTTCCTTCTCTTTCTCTCCCTTCCTTTCCCCCTCCTAGGAGTAGGAAAGAGAGGAATCCTACTCCTACTAGGAGGATTCCTCCTCCTAGCGCACCAACAAGGGCCGGCCGTCCTCCCCTTTGCTCCTTTATATACAGGGGCAGGGGGCACCTCTAGACACACAAATTGATCACAAAGATCTCTCCCAGCCGTGTGTGGTGTCCCCCTCCACCATAATCCACCTCGGTCATACTGTAGCGGTGCTTAGGCGAAGCCCTGCCACGGTAGCTTCATCAACATCGTCACCATGCCGTCGTGCTGACGAAACTCTTCCCCGAACTCTATTGGACCGTGAGTTCGCGGGACGTCACCGAGTTGAACGTGTGCTGAACGCGGAGGTGTCGTACGTTTGGTACTGAGGATCGGTCGATCGTGAAGACGTACGACTACATCAACCGCGTTGTCATAACGCTTCCGCTTAACAGTCTACGAGGGTACGTGAACGACACTCTCCCCTCTCGTTGTTATGCATCACCATGATCCTACGTGTACGTAGGATTTTTTTTTTGAAATTACTACGTTCCCCAACACCAGCATATCATACAACATGGCGTTAACCAAATCTATTCGAGTAATTTTTTTGTTTGGCAACCACGTTTGATTTTGGTGAATATGGAGGTACCCTCTCGTGACTAATACCATGTCCCGCGCAAAATAAATTGAATTCTTTCAAAAAGTACTCTCCACCATGATAGACCGAACTCATTTAAATTTAGTTTCATCTTCATTTCCAACCTTTGACTTGTAGATTTTAAAGTATCGTAGAGCCTCATACTTAGTGTTTACAAAATACATTATACAGAGGAATCACTATCAACATCATGAAGTATTTCTTTCCATCTCTAGTCAACACATCTTTTTACACCATTATGTACATGTAGATATAGACTATCAAATTTAGACAAGCTACTAGAGATGCTCTTAGACTACAGCAGCTAATCTTTTATAATAATAAAAAATAAAATATACTCCACGTAGAGATGATCCGGATCTGCGTGTGCCTTTTAGAAAAGCGTAAACGGTCCATCACCTCGCGATCCCCAAATCCCCGAAAATGGACAATCGAAACATGTGCACAGTGGAGAAGCGCGGGCGCGTCCACCTCATCACCCTCACCGGCGCCGGCGAGCACCGCCTCGGCCCATCCCTCATCTCGGCCCTCCGCTCCGCCGTGGCCACCGTCCGCGCCTCCCCCGGTGCCGGCGCCCTCGTGCTGGCCGCCGAGGGCAAGTACTTCTCCAACGGCTTCGACCAAGCCTGGGCGAGCACGGTCCCGCCCCACCTCCACGCCTCCATGAGAGGGGCCTTCCGCGCCCTCGTGGCCGACCTCCTCGCGCTGCCCATGCCCACCGTGGCCGCCGTCACGGGCCACGCCGCCGCCGCCGGCTGCGCGCTGGCCCTCGCGCACGACTCCGTCGTCATGCGCGCCTCCCGCGGGTTCCTGTACATGAGCGAGGTCGACGTCGGCCTCAAGTTCGCGGACTACTTCGCGGAGCTGCTCCGGCAGAAGGTCCCCGACGGAGCGGCCAGGAGGGACATGGTCCTCGGGGGGAACAAGATGACGGCGGCGGAGGCGCTGCGGCTGGGCATCGTGGACGCGGCCGCGGACGGCGGCGTCGAAGACGTGGTGACCGCGGGCGTCGCGGCGGCCGAGGGGCTCGCGGCCAGGGGGTGGGACGGGGAGGTCGTGGCCGAGATCAGGAAGGCGATGTGGCCCGCCGTGTGGGGCAAGGTCAAGGACCACGGCGCCGAGGCGGCGGTAGCGCGGCCGCGGCTGTAGGCTCCGGTGTACCGTACGAGGCCACTCCTCCTGAAGAACTGGCTCTGAATCCACATCGAGCCGTAGATCTACGAACTTCAGCTGGGAACAGAGCAATGTTCAGGAACTGCTCGAACAGAATCGTCCGGCCAAGAAGATCGCAGCCACCGGCGACATGTGCTGGTGGTTTTCCTTGTGCTCTGCCCGACGCTCTTTGATCTTCGATTCCGGTTTCATTGCGTGTGGCGTATGCTGTCGCTCTGACCGAAGCTCTCTGCTGATAGACTGAACTTATGAAGCATGGCTGCATGAACGATGAACTGCTTTCGCGTGCATGGTGCACAGCATTATCGCTGTGCACCAGATCTGGTAGAAAGTCCGAGACTGATCTGAACCCGGGCAGTTTTCTTGATGAAAGTGAGCAACTCCCTATAAGATAGATGCTTTGCATATTTCAATATGGGCTATATACGGACATATAATACACTAAAACGTGTCGGTGTACATCTAATTTAGAAGAAAAAAAGTTAGAACATCTTATTATTTGTGAGCGGGGGGAGTATTTCATAAGACTATCATTTGCCTTAACTCACTCTCCGGATGCCGCAAACACTTCTTTTGTTTCGACAAAGGCATAAGTTTTGGAGAATGGACATTTGGCTCTCAGCCTCCGTGGAGGCATTTTCTTGAACAAAATTCAAAATTCAAACTTTTTGGTTTTAAAAAAATCTGAAAAAAAATTGTGCAAGTAAACACGGATGTTATGTGTATGTGTGTGAAATTTCAGGATGAAAAACGTTGAAATGCGACCTGTACAAAAAAGACAAATTCATGGCTTCGGAGGATGAATAGTATCATGTGTTAAAAAGCACTGGATTTTTCTTTTTTGCATAGCCCTCATTTCAACGTATTTTACACTGAAAACTTACACACCTCACATGTGTGTTATGCCTTCATGTACATCTGTGTTTTTTTCAGAATTTTTTGAAACATAGAAAATATGAAATTTGACAAAATTCAAAATTTCAAAAGCGATCTCCATGGAGCTCGGCCTCCATAGACAATATTCGTAAGTTATGCCTCATTTATTAATCAAGGAGAATAGAGTTTGTTTACACGGCAACATAATACAAAAAAAGGCTACTACTCTCCCGGTAGTATTGAACCCAACAACTCTTTTCCCCACGATCGCCCAAAGCATAGCTTCATTCTTGATGATGCCAACAAAATTTGACGGTGATGTGGACTTGTGGCGGAAAACCCGTGCGTTCTTCTCATTCCAACTAGTTCAACCAACGAGGATAGCAAGGAATGTCATAGCTTTTCTATTTGGGACGTGCAAGCCAGATAGGTTGATCCACCATTCCTTGATAGAGTGTTCCAAGCTCCACGTGAAAGTGTCAATGCTCTCGACACTTGGTGAAAAGTTGTAACACTGATCCTTGCTCTCTTTTACAGAGCACATAGGCCATTTTTGCCACCCATGTTTAGCCAATTTGTCTGCGGTCCACAATATACTTTGGAAGCCAAGCAAATAACTTGACCCTAGGCAGTGCCCAAGCCCTCAACACCAAGTGTTTCATATACAGAGGCTGCCGAATAGTGCTTGCACGCGTAGTAATGTCGTCCTCAACATTTTCACTGAGGAAGTCATTGATGAGCACCCAAAGGACAATGGATTGGATACGATCCGCGATTAGGTTGGTGGAGGCTTTGATCCTGAAAATCCACGCATCATCCTCCTTCAAAGCTTCACACCTTCCATTTTTCCCTTGTGAAACTTGTAGTCCCAAAAAAGGACTTACGCGCCGTTGTCAATGGTGATGATGGTCGAGCATCATCCTTCAAAGCTTCACACCTTCCAAAATTTCCTTGTGAATGAAACTTGTTGTCCCAAAAAGGGGCTTACGCGCCGTTGTCAATGGTGATGATGCTTCAAAGCTTCACACCTTCCATTTTTTCCTTGTGAATGAAACTTGTAGTCCCAAAAAGGGGCTCAGGCACCGTTGGGGTGATGATGGCCGAAGCATAGAATAAGTCGAGGTCCAACTCAGCAAGGACTACCCGTCCCAACCCATATCTTGGTTGGTTGGTTCCTTCCACTCACAGCAAGGCCATCTCAACCTAAGGGCCCTCCCAAACTTGTTGGTATCCCAATTGACCTGTCTCCAGCGTGTCAATTTTAGCAACAAACCTCACTGTAGGATGTACATGGCCTTGGAACTTGGAAGTGGGGGATAATCACATTTCCCGACTTGCCGAAAACCATGCGCCACAACTGGGAATCAGGCAATGTAACAGAAGAACAATCATTTGGTGCAGGACGACGACATTTACATCAGGGACAAGGGACAAAACATGGGATCAGCCATACTTACTGCCGCATTACAGTACCACTACCACCAAGCATTACAAAAATGTACTTAAAACAAGTCACAGCCCTAGGCATTAACATATGTCTCCACCTCCTACATCATTGCTCTTACCTACTAATAATAAGTAACAACTCAACCAACATGTGCCGCCATGTGCTTAAACATGGGCGACACCGGCAACAACAACAACGACGATTCTTCCAAGGTCAGGTAATTTACATAGTTGTACTTCTTTCACTGGCACTGGCACTTGCACTGGATCGGTCTCTCCTCAGGATTTAGGAGAGAAGAGTTGATTCTTCGATGATGGCGGACAAACAAAAAATATGGGGCGATGCGGCGCGCCCGTCTAGCTCCCAGCATGGGCGAAGTTGAGGCCATTTTGCCGTCGAACATGTTCCGGAACAAGCCTGTTGATGAGCTCTGGAGAGGCGTTCGCTAGCTGCATTGCCAGAAAGGAACATTGATGAGCACAGCACGTCAAGAGCCCAAGAGGGTTCTTTCCAGGCTAGCAAAGACATGGCACAGCCTTCCTAATTATTGAACTGATGTATATCTTGAATGAGACATGTGATCATGTGCCTGAAACCAGTCTATCTGTTTTTCTATAACTAAAATGGTTGCTGCTTGAACAGTGTATATTTTACTTACTTCAGGTTTGAAGTTGAACAGAGGAGGGAATGGGCGGCCATTTGGCAAGCGTGCATTCGGCTCACGTAGCTCATCAAAGAAGGAATGTGCACATGCATCAAGCTGCACAGGAAAACAAACACATAAGAACGTTTTAAATTCAAAAGATTACTGGTTTGAAGATTATGTTGCTTTCCAGCTAAAGTAACAGCATTAACAGCGACCCTTTTCTAGGTGGAGCACTAGCTGTAGTTAACAAGCACATGTGACTATAAAGTTGCACCCACTCTCATCAGTCAAGACTCATCAACATTTAGTTCTGGACCACAGGATATCATAATTATAATGCCAATGCAGGACCAGAAGCTAATCAGTGACTGAAAGCTAGGCATTGATGCTTCCAAAACTCAAAAAAAAAAACTCCCACAAAGGTGCAGAAGAGCCTCCTTTTATAGTTAATGATTAAATAACTGTACATATATTCCTCTATCTCTCACAAAAAAGGATAATTAACTGTAACACAACATTTTAGATATGATTAGAATAGACAAAACCATGTACTAGTATCACACACACACAAAAATGCAAGAGGTAAAATGACCTTAGTACACCTCATTTAGTATTTTATCCACCCAGCCACTTAGCACAATCTTTAAGAGCAATCACAAAGCCGAGCACGGAAAAACTTACAGCAGTGCAACGTAGATTTGGTGAATACTGGAGAAGGCGGGAGGCAAGATCTATAGCTTCAGCGGGCATTCTCTTGTGGAAAATCTAGGGAAAGGAAAGTAGAGCAACCCGTTAGCTGCAGGCACATTTTTAATTCATAATTTACTGATGGTGTAGAGAAGCTGGTAACTAATTGACATGCCAGAAGATGTGGACTTAATACCATGCAAGTATAATGACATGATGCAGTTGATTCAACAAAAAACTTAACGTATGTCTACCTTGTGCCAAGGATGAGCCTTTATCTGAGGAAACCTGAACTCGGTATAGTTGGGGTTCATACATCGAATTTCCTCACGGGTTGGAGTACCAAGAACCTGCAATAACATCACATGGCTTTAAGAAACATCCATGGCAGAAGAATACAAGAAGACAATGTTGTATGTGAAACATCAGGCAGTACCTTGATAATCTCAACTAGCTGATCAACCGCAGTCTCTCCTGGAAACAGAGGCTGACAAATACAACAACACATAGGGTGATCAGAATCACTTCATGGACAATATAGTCTAATCAATGTACCCAAACAAGGCCAAAACTCCTTAGAGAAGGTAACCAACCTGACCAAGAAGTAACTCTGCAAGAACACATCCAGCTGACCATATGTCTATTGAGGTTGTATATTCAGTTGCACCAAATATGAGCTCAGGAGCACGATAGTAGCGAGAGCAAATGTATGCTATATTGGGTTCACCAGGTACCTGAAACAAGAAGAGGGCAATGGTCAATACATGTGGTAAGAACTGAAGAGAGCGGAAATAACCAAATTGAGGAAAAAAGCAGATGCAAGTTTTCATACGACCAAGGTCAGGCTAGGCAACCTTGCACCAAGATAAAGATGCAGTTTATGTATGTTGTGTCGCCTACAGGGCAGTTGGGAGTAATGAATAGAGCAGACAGCATACAGATAGCAGTGTGTAATGAACCCAATTTGGAAAACAAGATCCAAGTAGACAGCCAGACACCAATTATACAATGGATCAATCATGGAAATGGACTGTCAAGTATGGGAAATTTTGTCCTTTCCACTATTGTATTAAAGCCAACTTTAAGCTGCGATTTCAAAACTCAGGACATACTCGCAAGACTCGACATCTTACACGTTATCATGGGGAAAATAGCATATTATTCTTTATAATGATAAATAATGGCATAGATCACATGCTATGTCAACAGTATGACCAGTCAGACACTAGATGTCTAGAACAATTCAAAACTAAATGCAACACTGAATTAAACTACTGATTCTTAAGGGGGAAATCAACATACCAGAACTTTTGCGCTTCCAAAGTCACAGATCTTGACTTGATGGGTTAGAGGATCAACCTGTATTGGCAAGAGAAGAGACCAATTCAGGACCAATTATGAAATCGTACAAGTAACGAGATCGTGTTCACATAACACGTACCAAAACATTTTGTGGTTTCACATCCCTGTGGCAAACTCCTGGAACAGTGTGAACATAAGCTAACCCTCTAAAAAGCTGCAAACAAAGCAGATGATACATACATTAGCAGAGCAAAAAGGCGGTTATTGGCGGCCAGGAAAGTGTAATATGGTGGTTCACAGACCTGATACATGTAGAGCTTGACATAGATAAGCGGCATCCGCTGGTTGGCATTGCTGTAGTGCTTGAGCACACGGTATAGAGTCTCAGGGACATACTCCATGACAAGGTTCAGGAAGAGTTCATCCCTGCTTGTGGTGGAGAAGAAGCAGTGCTTCAGAGAGACAACATTGGGATGGTCCATGGAGCGCATAAGCTGCAGCTCACGGTTCTTGTAACGGCGGTCTTGCAGCACCTTCTTGATGGCCACAGTCTCTCCAGTCTCCAAGCACTTAGCCTACATGTGAGAAGCAGTTGAATTCGATAAGCATTTCATCAACTAATTGGCAACAACACATAAAGCAGAAGCAAACCATAAGACGAAGGGGCCGTACCTGGAAGACAATCCCAAATGAACCAGTTCCTACCACTCGCTCGGCCATGTAGCTAATTGTCTGCAATCAGGATTAATAGAACAACATAAAAATGTATCCTCTAAAAACGACAACCTGAGCACAAAGCAATTAGCGCTTAGAACATGATTTCAGTACGCGCTTTAGCCATAACACGGAAAGCAGGCAGTAGATCGAGCGATAGCCACATAATTTCTCTGCCGCACACCAAAATCGGTTGGAAATGAAGGAAAAGGCTCTGTGTCTGGTCAACAAAGCCCGCAAATCAGCTGATTCGCACTGATTTCCTGGACGAATCGCAACCAGACCACCCCACCCCACCCCCCAAAAAAGTAGAACACAGGTTAAAGCTAAACATTTGCTAGAGGCTACAAATCCCTTAGCGGAGCGAGAGGCCACGGCACCAACAGCACAGGAAGGGAAACAACCGTGAGAAGAGCAGGCACATTTGACCAGAAGCGCGCGCGAGAACGAGCAAGAGGAACATAAAATCGAGAACACGCAAGCTGCTCACCCTCTTGGGCTCGCCGTTCTTCCCGCCGATGGTGGTGGAGATGATGTGGCCGGTGACAGGGTCGCCGCCCTCCGTCCTCGCCTGCAGCACCAGAGC